GGCCAGGAAACAGCTAGACCCTGAGAGCCTCCAGAAGGTTCCCAGTGCTGCAAACATGATGCAATCCTGTGACTCAGTAGACAAGTTAGTTCCACTGGAAATTATCTCAGGCTTTCAGAGATACACAGCAGCAGAGGGAGCTTCTGGATTCCCTTGTCCGTCCTTCCTTGTGTCCACAGAACATAGCGTAACCGTAAGATAGGACAGACAGTCGCTGCAGTGTCACAGACCAACAGTCTCATCAGTTTTATGCTTTATTTTCTTTCTTCCGGGAACCAGTCCAGGACTCTCCATGTAGTTGTCATACCTAGTTAGTCTCTTCCAGTCTGTTCTCAATCTGTCTTTGTCTTTTATGACCTTGACGTTTCTAAAGAGCACTGACTGGCTGTTTTATAGCTTTGTTCTTAGTTCGGGTCTGTGTGATTTCACAGGAATGGAGTGAATTTACACATTTTTAAAGGGTAGCTTGTTTTATCCGATGTCTTTGCTACCACAGCACCATCTTACACTTGGGAATGTCCCCCGGACACATGCCTGAGAGCAACAGGATGGTGCACCAATTTCAGTTCCTTCAGTATCCTTCATGAATGTCTCAAAGGCTGATGAAGCTGCTCACCGACCCACCCCCATCCTAGTTCCCCAGGGGAGATCAGTCTTAGGCTGTCCCTTTCAGCAAGCTAGCTGGAGACAGGTCTCAGCTATGTGACAGCACCGTGAGAGAGGTGCTCGGGACAGCATTGGCCAGGGGCTGGTTCCAGACAGGCTGCAACAGCCTTAGACCTAATAGTAAGACTCAAGACTCCCCACACTCCAAGCCATATACTACTGCTTTGTTCTTTGAAGACAGACTGAGCACAGTGACTAGTCTGGTCTGAGACTGTGCATACTCTGGCTGAGTGACTGCTGTGTGCTTTAATGTAGCAAAGGTCTCTGTCCCCAGGGCCAACCAAAAGCCAAATATGCTCCTCATGGCCCTCTTCCGTGAGGTGCACCAGTGGGCATCAACATGCTCAGGCACCGTCTCCCAAGCATTCTTGCTGAGGGCATTCGTTTCCACCTTGTGCACTCTTTCTACATACGTCAGAAGAGAGTAAGCCCAAGCAACTGGTTGCAAAATACATATTTTGCTTTGTACTCACAGAAGGACGTGGTGTCGATATGTGTAATTACCAGTGATGCTAATCTTGATCTGCAAAGCTGCAATTTACCTGCTAGTTAATAAACACACTGGGAGGGATATGCGAGAGTATGCAAATCCTTTCCACCCTTTCTCACGTTAACTGGGGCAGGTGTTGGTAGGTGACCTTCCAGCCATCTCTGCAGTTATGATGTGAGTCTCTTTTAACTGAATTGGGATGCTCCTGAAAAGAAGAGCCATTCCTCCTCCATGATTTGTTGTTTTCAGAGATTTACTTATTTGCATAGACTCATAGGTACTGATTTCATTTTATGGCTAAAATCCAACGCTACTATTATTGTTACTCAGTTGTTCCAGCTTTGGCCGATTAAAACTCTTTCAGGTTGTATTCATTTGACTCATTGTTACCCACTTCCCACTCTTTTTCCATTCTCATTTTGTCAATTGATTTTGTTTTGTATTGTTTTGTTGTTGCTGTTGTTTTGGTTTTGTGGTTTTGGTTTTTTGAGACAAGGTTTCTCTATGTAGCTCTGACTGTCCTGGAACTAGCTCTGTAGACCAGGCTGGCCTTGAACTCAGAGATCTGCCTGCCTCTGCCTCCCAAATGCTGGGATTAAAGGTGTATGCCACCACAGTTTGTACTGTTTTTTGTTTGTTTCTTTTTGAGATAGGATCTATATAGCCTTGGCTGGCCTCAAAATCAGAGATCCACCTGTCTCTGCTTCTGAGTGCTGGGATTAAACGCACTGGTCATGATACTCAACCTTATCAATAGGCTTTAAAACAGTAACTTTAGATCTACAAATTTCAAAGACAATATAAGCTCCAAACAATGCTAACATCTTATGTAACCACGATACAGTTATCAAAACTGTGGGACCAACGTGGATCAATTACCATAACAAAATTCCAGACTTTATTTGGATTCTGCCAATTCTTCCACTATCAACTTTTTCCATTCCAAGATCCAACCCAAGATACTATGCTACATTTAGGCCTTCATCCTATTTTAAGTACTTCATTGCTTACCACAGATGCTCCTGTCTCATCTTGCATTTTCCTGCCCAGCCCTGTAAGCATCCACTGCTCTAAAGAGCCCCACCCAGGGACTTTCAAAAATCCCAGTGCCTAGGCAGTACCCCAGACGAATTTAGAATCTCTGGCTGCCTTGGCAGTTACATGTGTAACAGCTCCCCAGTGACTCCAATGTTCATTTGAGACAGAGACACTAATCTAGAACTAACTTCTGGTGGATAAAAAATAGTTTAAAATGTGTTAAACTCCCAATTTTGGGTGTTTCTGTATATTTTCTGGTAGAGTTTATGTTTACTGCAGCAGAGGGCGACTCTGTTCATCTCTAATCAGCCCCCAGCCCAGAGCCCGTCATAGAAAAAGAACTTAGGAACAATGAGGGAAACTGAACAAGTGAGCCACATACATCTTGACTCCCATAAGATTAGCCTAGGCTTGTGGGTTTCCTAATCTCTCCACCTTCTTGGTCCTTCTAGTTGCTCTGAGATTCATGTCTCCTAAGATCTTAGGTGCAAGGGAGATTGCAGGAAGACTGCCCTCCATAAAGTCACTGGGCTCACTTTCCAGGCAGAGACTGCTGCATCTCTTCCTGCCTGGACGCCACTGGTCACCTCGTCAAGTTTGGTTCTTCTTCCACTATCTTTTCCTCCAACCGGCTTTAAGGTAAATGACTGGAAAAGGCATCTCCTTAATCCCTTCCCTTTGTCAAGCCGCCCTTTTCTAGCTGTGTCTGTGTCTCCCCTTCTTCTAATCAGAAGGACAAAGCACACACTCTGGCGCTGGCTAAATCAGAGTCAAACTCCAACTGAGTCTTGGTTCCTGCCCTGAAATGGGGGCATCAGACCTGCCTTGCAGACTGATGTGAAATGTCTGAAGACCATCTATTGCTAGAGCATCATGTACTCAGAATGTGAGCTATGTTTAGTGGCACGGGCTTTCAATTCCGTCTTCCTGGAAGGATGAAGCAGAAGAATTGTAAGTTCACGGCCTTTCTGAGTTACAGAGCAAGCTCAAAGAAGCTTAGAAAATTTGGGGTGACTCTCATCTGAAACATGAAAAGTTAAAAAAAAAATCTAAAACCAGAGAACAAAGGCTGTGAGAATATAGTTCAATAGTAGAGCAATTGCCCCAGCATGAGGTCCTAGGTTCAATCTCAGGAAAGAAGGAGGGGAGGGGAGGGGAGGGGAGGGGAGAGAAATGTTAGGGGAGGGGTCAGTTGTGGCTGTCATTGTTATTTAGTACATAATAATTAGTAATTATTATTTGTCCTTAGAAGGGACAAAGTAAGACACCTTTACTTATCTTCCCAGTGATCTATAAGCAACAGCTCATTCCGCGCTTGCCACGCTCACCTACACCATCTTGAGCGAACGCTCACAATCACTTGGAGGCAACTTTAACTAAAGCCATTGTTTTCTGACAATACCATTCGCCATGCCAAAAGACCAGAATAGTGACTGACTGACAGACAGACAGACAGACAGACAGACAGACAGACAGACAGAGACACAGACCCACACACACACAGAATGAGAGAGAGAAAGGACTCAGGGTGGGAGCAGGTGTGAACACAACACATTTGCCACAGGAAGTGTGTGAAGGTCGGGGGACAACTTGAGGAAGCTGGTTCTCTCATCCCACTACCTGTGCTGAGGATTGAACTCAGTTCATCAGACTCGGCAACAAGTACCTGTTCCTACTGAACCAGCTCATCAGCCCCTGTGGGAGAACCATAACAACAAAGTTTAAGGCAAGAAAGTAAGGACAGAATGCATCAACTGTAAAGACAACAGGGGGCCTGCAATCTAAACTTATTTCCTAAAAGTAGGAAGAAATAGGCTCAAATAATATAGGGTGAGCCCTGAATACACAGATGAGAAGTGAGAAGTGAGCAGAATTTGGACATGGTTCGCTGAACGTTTGAAACTGTGAAGGTTTGGGGGCCAGGAATACCATCCGTTTCCATGTAGGCTAAACATTTCCAAGTTGTCTTAGTTCTGATTTGCTGCTTAAGTACTCAAGGCTCCCACTGACGCCACAAAGTAACCAATACCTTGGAGTAGTAAAACTAGAAATTTCTCTTAAATGTAGTTTGACTTGAAGAAGCATTAGCAGGTAAGGAACTGCAGTTTGGGAACAATAAGGGAGGTAATTACAAGGAGCCAGGAGTGGAACAGAAAATTGCATAACCTTACTGGCAGAGAAAATGCCCCCAAACCAAATCTTTTTATAGTGTGAAGTACCTTTTTCTGTGAGGATCAAGAAAAATCTAATTTTATAAATCTTACACCCAATATGAAGCTTATAAATTATTTCCTTTATGCTTGTCAGAATTTTTAATCATTTTAAGTGCCACATGAAAAATGACTGCAATAACTATACTTTAACCCTAAAAATACCAAATGAAATAAATAGCAAAGTGCATAGAACTCTATAAACTATCTTGATGACATCATTCTAGATGTCTGAGGATATTAGGAAGTTTTACAAATAGAATGCAGGCATTCAAGATGTGGAAGATGGAGATAAAAAGGTTTTAAAAGGCATTTTATGCTGGGCAGTGGTGCACTCCTTTAGACCCAGCACTGGGAAGGCAGAGGGCAGGTGGATCTCTGTGAATTCAAAGCCAGACTGATCTACAAAGAGCGGTCCAAGACAGCCAGGACTGTTACACAGAGAAAACCTGTCTCAAAGAAACAAGCAAAACACCAAAAACTAAATCAAACCAAACCAAAAACATTTTAATTCAACCCCAAACCCAGGAAAGTACTGTCACCTTCTTAACCTGTATTCAAGGCCCAACCTCAGATGTATTTAAATTCTTTATTACCTGTGAGAAAACAGGAGATCAAGATGCAGAAAAGCCACATGGCAAGACTTGTCCAGACTCCTCGCAGAACCACTGTGCTGGCCTGTGTCTGGGGTGAGGGTCTCCGGCAAACTTAGTGGACCCAAGTCATTGCTTCCTTCCAGAGTGAAGTTTTCTATCCATCCTAGCCATCTTGCTTCAGGAAGCAGATGTTGGTGCTGAGGTCAGAGCTGCAATGGAGCTTGAATTGTTCTGGAAAGAGGAGCTGGCCCAAATGCTCAGAATGGGCGTACTCTGCAGCACCCTTTCTGCCCAAACCCAGCTATTGCATCAAGGGGAGCGGCCTGTGAGAGTTCCAGAGAAATGCTAACTGGGGAGCTTGAGACATCTGCCCGAGGGAGACATCCGGGCAGAGAGACTCAGTGTGGAGGGCCCTGGCTCTTCCCAGCAGACAGTGAACATCGAGGATTATTTTCCCTACTCATCAAGGGGCATCCTCTGCCAAGCGCCTCTCTGCCCATTCATTCAAGCTGGGTTGCTAATTAGCTGTTTGCTAATACATACTTCTGGAAAAGTAGAGAAGCAAAATAATTACTATTACTGCCGTTCTCTAGTGCTAGGGGTTGAACCCAGGGCTTTGTGCAAGCTACACAAGCACTCTGCCGCTAAGCTACAACCCACAGCTGTTGCCTCGGGTGGGTTTTTTTTTTCTTTTTCTTTCCTTTCCTCTTTCTTTCTTTTCTTTCTTTCTTTCTTTTTTTCTTTTTTTCTTTTTTTTTTTTATGGGTCACTGAGGCTTTTATTCTACATGTAGAACCGCTGGGGCAGGGGTCTTTCCTGTGGCCACCCTAGAGATTACACTGGGCTCCAGACACTAGCTTGGAAGTGAGGTGACAATGATTTGGACCAGTCACATGATTACAAAGCTGGGGTTCCCTGCAGGGCTCCAGGTGGTCGGGCGGACTGAAGACATCTAAGGAAGCAGGGGCATGGGAGGGGCAAGCACCGGGCCGGCCTTGAGCCGCCTTGATGACATCAGGGATGGGGTGTAAGCAGCTGGTGGCTCCAGGGATCTGCATCCACTTTACTTGGCCAGGGGGTTCCTGAAGCACCTGCCGGCAAACTTGGCCTTGCTGCCCAGCTCTTCCTCGATTCTAAGAATCTGGTTGTACTTGGCCAGGCGCTCGGATCGGCAAGGGGCACCAGTCTTGATCTGCCCAGTGCAGAGCCCCACTACCAGGTCAGCGATTAAAGTATCCTCAGTCTCCCCAGAGCGATGGGACACCATGACGCCCCGAACCATTGGACTGGGCCAGCTTACACGCCTGCAGAGACTCGGTCACGGAGCCAATCTGGTTCACTTTGAGCAGGAGGCAGTTGCAGGACTTCTCACTGACAGCCTTGGCAATCCTCTTAGGGTTGGTCACTGTGAGATCGTCCCCAACCACCTGGATGCCTGAGCTAGCTGTGAACTTCTTCCAGGCTTCCCAGTCATTCTGGTCAAAGGGGTCCTCGATGGACACCACTGGATACTCCCGGATGAAGGACTTGTACAGGTCAGCCAGCTGGTCAGGGGTGATGTACCTGCTGGCGTCATCAGGAGACTTGAAGTCCAGGTCATACTTCCCAGACCTGAAGAACTCAGAAGCGGCCACGTCCATGCCGATGACAACCTGTTCAGTGTAGCCAGCCTTTCCAATTGCATTCTTCAGCAGCTCCAGAGCTTCTTTGTTCTCCAGGATGTTAGGTGCAAACCCGCCCTCGTCACCCACATTGGTGGCATCCTTCCCATATTTCTCCTTGATGACATTCTTCAGGTTGTGATAAACCTCTGCCCCAATGCGCATGGCTTCGCGGGAACTGGACGCCCCCACAGGGAGGATCATGAACTCCTGCATGGCGAGCTTGTTGCCAGCGTGAGACCCGCCGTTGATCACATTGAAAGCTGGGACTGGCAGGATGACTTCAGCGTTGCCAGCCAAGTCAGCGATGTGGCGGTAGAGGGGCACCCCCTTTTCTGCAGCACCAGCTTTGCAGACAGCCAGGGACACTCCCAGGATGGCATTGGCACCGAATTTGGATTTATTCTCAGTGCCGTCCATCTCGATCATCAGCTTGTCCATCTTCTCCTGCTCCACCACATTCAGTTTCTTGCTAACCAGAGCAGGTGCGATAGTTTTATTGATGTGCTCAACAGCCTTTGAGACACCCTTCCCCAAGTAGCGGGTCTTATCATTGTCACGGAGTTCCAGGGCCTCATAGATGCCAGTGGAGGCACCGCTGGGCACGGCAGCCCGGAAGAGACCTTTTGCGGTGTAGAGATCAACCTCAACAGTGGGATTCCCACGGGAGTCAAAGATCTCTCGGGCGTGGACCTTGAGAATAGACATGGCTTGTTTCTGGCAGTCGGCGTGCCGTAGAGGAAGAGCGCAGAGGTTCCTGCACACACCCTGGAGAGCGTTCAGGAGAGTAGTGTGTGCGACCCGGGAGCTGAGCTGGTCTTTTTTTTTTTTTTTTTTTTTTTGAGACAGGGTTTCTCTTTGTAGTCCTGGCTGTCCTAACACACTCTGTAGACCAGGTTGGCCTCAAACTCACAGTGATTAAGTGCTGGAATTAAAGGAGCGTGCCATCACTGCCAAGTTCTGTGGCATCAATTTTAAATACCATTCTAAAAGTCAAAAGGTAGACAATAATAGTTTTATATTTGCAAGTCTGCAAAAATGAAAAGCTACGACATAATATGCTAACAAGATTGGCACCTTGTGGTAGAACTAGGAAAACATGAACAAGATTCTTTATCTAATCTTTTAAAATTGATTATTGAATCAATAATTCACTACTGAAAGTTAAAACCAATTTTTAAAAATTTTAAACAAAATCCAGTAAACTTCAATTCCTTGAGGACTTAAAAAACCCAATGCACAAATTATAATGGTAAAATAAGCATTGGTTTGAGAATGCACATTGATTTTTGAACTGAACATATTTTAGTTCTAGTTTCTTAGCTTATTCGCAAGATAATTTTGGGTCAGTCATTCATTGATTCAGCCAACATTCCCTAGGAGTTTAATATGTGTGAAATCTGGGAACTCAGTAAGTTCTTATCCTTTCCCAACTAATGAAGATGCATACAGAAATACTCATGGGGCAATATTGAATACAATGGAGGAACCACTGAGGTTCTGGGGTACTGAAGAGAAACACCCAATCCACCTTCCGGGATTCTAGAAGGCTTCCTATGGAGACTGGCAGAGTATTGAACTCAGGAGAGTTAGTTACAAATGGTGTTTAGAAAAATCCTACATTTTTTAGACAGAGTGAGCAAGGCTGGAATGAGAAGACACAAGGGTCTGGAGAGCTCAGTGTTTTCTGAGTGCTTTCCAGTTTATTCTGAGAGCAGTATCAAGGGCAGGGTTTCAAATGCCAATCTGATGGTGGCATTCTCTGCATTTCAGACTTAAAAGGTTTCTGAGAAAGCAAAGTGACAGGCAAGAGGGGGCTCTGCCAGGCATCAGGGTGAGAGATACTGCCAGCCTATGCTAGGCGTCCCCAGGTCTGTGGGAAGAAACGAAAACCTCAAAATGCAGGACTGAGAATAGTAGCTCCTACATAATGTATGGACTAGGAAGGACTGGGAAGGGCCAGAACTCCAAACATGACTTTCCGGTTCTGGTTTGGGAAACTGGGTGGACAGCAAGTCTTCAAAGGAAAGAACAGAAAGGCACAGAGTAGGGTGGGGTCAGGACAGGCAGGGTCAGGGGTCTGCAGAAAGAGGCTGCATTTGCTCAGCCTCATGCACTTAGATATAAAGCATTTGTGTGAGCAGGCACAATCACCACTATGCAAATACCTGTCTCAAATTGATGTCAAGGAAATAATACCTCCCCTCTACCTGCGGGGGTTTTATGGGTAGTGGGTGAGCATGTGCAAACAAAACTTGTCCACTAAGAATGATGTGCAGACATATAGAGAGAGAGACCAGAGAAGGCAAGAACATGAACTAGAAGACAGAGGTGGGAGGGTAGCTCAGAGAAGTGGTTCTAAAAACAATGAGGCATGATGTGATTGTTCAGGCAGAGTGCAGAAGAGAGTCCCCAGTGAGTTCATCACTGAAAAATGTTCCCTGGATTCAACAACTGGAAAGTCATTGTAATCCCAGCAAGAGGAGTTCCTGTGGAAGCCTTGGATCCAAACCTAGATCATTGTGGGTTGAAGAGTAAATGGAAAAAGTAATGGCCATTTTATGCAAAGAGGAAGAAAACAACTCCATCAGCCTTACATTTCTTTTTCATTTACAAAGAAAATACAGTAATGCATTGCAAAACAGTTGTGGGAATCAAGAATGGGGACAGGAAATCCATCAGAAATATGCCCAACTCTAACCTCTTTTCACTTACCTCAACTGCTTCCCAGTTAACACTATAAGGGGTGTGACTCCTGAAATGAACAACGATTTAGAGAATAAGCAGGAAGTGGGACACAGAACAGAGTTCCAAGAATATACCCATCCGTTTGAACAAAAGGGGTTAGATGAGTTCACGATTCAGCAATCCAGATAGAATAACTTGAGCAAAGCCAAATGATGGAAAGTTTGAGAATTTGAACACAAAGTGAATCAGAGGATTAAAAAAAAAAGGTAAACAAAAAATGCAATCAAGAGTAAGTCTCACACAGCTGAGTTGTGGGGCAGTCCACCACTGAGCCACAGGGTCTTCAAATAGTTCTGCATGGCATGAGTCTGTACCAAGACAACCCAGCTCAATTACAAGGAGAGTTAGGTCCTAGGCTCAGCACACACCTACTGGGCAGTGAGAGGTAATGCCATTAACCTAACCTAGCTTTTGAATTCATCTTTCTGAAGACTGAGTTATCACCCAGTAAAAAAACAAAAAAACCCTCAGATGATCTGCCTAAGCCTGGGACATTACACTAGGTAAGGGCTTCTGGATGACTATGCCTCATTTGCTCAACTCTACCACCTGATACTCCTGTCTCTGCTCGTGCTTCTCTTCTGATGCAATATACCCAAATCAAACTATACTTTATCCTGTTGCCTGCAGCTTTGTTTTTGTTGACCCAAGGTTTGAAGGAGCTAAGACTTCGAATTCACTCTGTAGGCAATTTGGGATGACCACGTCCTGATTTTCTTGCCTCCATCCACAAGTGTGGGGATTGATGTACATCAACATGCATGGTTTATATGACACTGGAAATCAAACCCAGAGGCCTGTGAATATTAGGCACTACTCTACCAACTGAGCTACAGCCCAGCCATGTTGTCAGAATTCCTGGGATTTTCTGCAGAATTGGAGGATGGTTCAGGCCTGAAGAGGAACAGTTGAATGGATAGATAAGTATGCCTAAATACCATATCCCATTTGCTACTTAATACTTTGGTATTTAATTTTGTTAGGAACTTTATGTAAAGAGAGCAAGGGGGGAAAAGGTCATACTTTTTACTCCCAATCTGAGCCTCACTCATCAGACAAAGAATCCAGGAAGAGGCCAAAGGGCCAATTATTTTATCCTGTTCTTGTGCTCTCCACTTACTCTGCACAAAGATTCCCGTATATTTATGCCCGTGTTTAAGAACATCTGACATTTAGCTCTAATTTCTTTTTCCTGGAAGTCACACAGAGAATTTAAACAGTGGAATTCCTTTCAGACTCTTGTTT